AAGTGCGAAATTGCTTTTGCTTCTAACTGTGCTCATTGAGGAGATAAAATATTTCCCCCCCTCTCCTGCCCCGGAAACGGCTGCATACGGAAGCCGCACCAGTGGAGAGAAAGCAATGGCTACCTCTGCACAGCTTGCATGTATTCCTTGATGAGTCCCGAGTGAGGTGCGCTTACATGGTGGGATAAAAGTGTGTTTGGCCAACAAAGTGGAGATGCCTACCCCCCATGGTAGAAGTTCGGGGGAGCCCACTGCTCCTTCGAGTTAGAAGTGTGATTTTCAGGATCACTATTCCATAGGGTATTCCGATTGCGTTGGTGATGATGATGGGGCATATGTGCGCGCATCACAGTTACGTGCCTGGGCATATAAAAAAAAGAAAGAAGGAGCTCCTCCCTTTTGGCTTCTGACATGGAGGTGCCAAAGAGGAATGACGCAGCCCCTTCACTTTCCCTCTCTGGTGCACTATGGGCTCAGTTTTGATAGGTAAATGGATGAGGGGGGTCCAATTCTCTCGAACGGGGAAAGCGGTTTCGTGACATAAAAAAAGGAGCACCCGTTTGTGAGTGTAGAAGTGGGTGTAGCAGTGTAGGACGGTAGAAGTACGTCTGAACGTACGCGTGGGCGGACGCGCCCGTGCAGCTATGCGCAATGTGCAGGTACCCCGGGGGGAGGACAGAAAATCGAACAAGAAAATGATATGCACGGGGGGGCAACGGTGCCTGGTCGGCTTTGTGCAACAAAAAAAGGAAGCAAAAAGGAAGGAAAAGGGTAGAAAAGGGGCAGCAAAAAAAACACGCATGGAGGGGATTCACCATGACATGCAGACAATGGTAGGAAAACATGGACGGGTGCCATTCTCTGCATGCTTATGCTCGTGTGGCTACCCCTTAAGTGCTGTTCCGCGGCGGCGACTTGGGGCGCAGGTTCTCAATCTCGGTAGTGGTCCCCATGTACTTGCCTCCAACATAGGAAGTGGCCTCGGGCCAGGCGATGTCCCCCTCGAACCACCCAGTGTACTCCTCCCTATTGAAAAGAGTCGTATCCAAATTCTTTCCCAAAGTGAGCCACCCATTCCGAATATTCCTGTTCGTGCCAAAAAGCTCAATCTTCCTCCTGCCCAGACAGAATTTCTCAATAATCTTGTACAATTCCTCCGGCTTGTTATTATTGTAGATATTCTCATCGGTTTCATCTGCTATAATGACATCAGTGTCAAGATTGGCATGAATAAAATGGATGTCGTACGAACGTCGAACGGCTCCCTTAATGCCAACCAAGCAATGTTCAGTGGTCCTCTGTAGGTATGAGTTTTCATTGTTTATTTCGTTAAGGTACTTTCTCTTTCTATTGGTTTCCTTTATGTTTGTTTTCAACCAACATATGTCTTCACATCGGCGGTAACCCCATTTGCTTAGGAGAATTCGAGCGTCCTCTAGGTGAGTGATTCCACACCAGATAAATAGGAAGGAAGGAATATCTGCTATTTTATCGATTTCTAAGCTGGCTAGGTCATCCAGAGACCAGAACTTATCCTTGTCATTATTTATGTCTCCATTCAAATCGTAGTTTTCTATGTGCATGCTGTTCAGTAAGTCTAGATTGTGAATTTTCCTATCGTAGTATTCTTTCCAGGGTGGATCCATAAGGATGACATCAAATTTTGTTCCTAATGTTCCCAAATCAAATGTCCTCAAGTCACAATTTATGTACCTAGCTGGGGTGGACCTCTTCTTTATGATGATATTTTTCAATTCTAGCAGTTGCTTCAGCTTAGGGTATTTATCAAACCTCTTGTTTTCGTCGCTGTCTCTAATAAAATTCTGTGGCCTCTCTCCTGTGTTTACAAAATGCTGATTGTAATCGTTTTGGAGTCGTTCCCTTCCGTCCACGTTTATGTTGTATGTCATCATATTGCCCTTCCCTTGGTTTTTCTTGTCCCTTTTTGTTGCTCCCCTCTTGTCGAGGTCGCCTTGGTACACTTCTCCAGGGTAGCCTTCTCCGGGGTACCCCTCTCCAGAGTAGCCTCCTCCAGGGTAGCCTTCTCCGGGGTATCCCTCTCCAGAGTAGCCTCCTCCAGGGTAGCCTTCTCCGGGGTATCCCTCTCCAGAGTAGCCTTCTCCAGGGTAGCCTTCTCCGGGGTATCCCTCTCCAGAGTAGCCTTCTCCAGAGTAGCCTCCTCCAGGGTAGCCTTCTCCAGGGTAGCCCTCCCCCGGATATGCCTCCCCCTGGAATCTATGGCCACTGCTCATGCGGTACGGCGGAGGCATGGGCGTACCATACGGGGGAGGGGGGACTATGAAATTGCCTGGAAACATTCGATCGTCTTTTTTTACATCTCTGGAGAAATTCTCCACAGTGTTTAAGCCAGGTGTCATGTCAAACATCATGGGATTGTTCCTCTCAGTGCCATGCGGGGGGTGCATCATCTGATTTTTTTTCTGCATGTGAAAGGCGTTCCCTCCTACGGCGATGCTATTTGGGCCCGTTGGGCAGGGGGGAAAAGTGTTGATTCTTTCGCTTGGGGGTGGCAGCGGCTGGGGGGGGTTCATCCCCATGTGATACTTGCTGCTGCCTGCATTGGCATACATGTTGGCGTTCTTGCTTTTTAAATTGCTGTGGAGTGGAAAATTGCCTGGTCCACCCTCCTTCATGATGCAGTTGCTGTCTGGGGGGGCGACTGGTGGTGCGGATGGGGGTGGCACCGGCGGTACAACGGGGGGGGAGACAGGTGGTGAGGGTGCAGGTGGGATCGGCCGTCCGGATGGAGGTGGTATCGGCGGAGCGACTGGTAGTGATGATGCAGATGGTATCGGCGGTGCAGCTGGAGGTGCCGCTGAAGGTGCCGCTGGAGGTGGGATCGGTGGCGAGGCTGGCGGCGCGTACGGACCGGTGCTGCCACCCTTGCTGGGCGGAGGGGGACTTATAGCGTTGTTGTTCAGGTAACTGGGGAATGGTGGGGCCTTCGCAGGTTTGAAATTTTTGTTCATGAAGGGGATGCCACTTGGGGGGGGAATTCCACTCGGAGGAGGTATGCCACTCGGGGGAGGAATGCCACTTGGAGGAGGTATGCCACCTGGGGGAGGAATCCCACTTGGAGGAGGTATGCCACTTGGAGGGCTGACCCCTACCCCCGCATAACCTCCAGGCGCGAAGCCGAAATTTTTGCCTGGCGTGCTGGGAAAACCTCCACCACCGCTGCCGTAGTTCACGCCCCCTTTGGGGAAGTTCTTTTTGCTGCTATACGGATGATGGTACTGTGGCGAGTTGTTACTTGCCTGTTTGCTATACGGAGGGGTTCCTTTTAAAGTTGGGTTCAAATTGGAGTTCCCTCCCCCTCCAGGTCCAGCTCCCCCCTTGTTGTTATTAGCTCTTCCGTTAAGGAAATTTCCCTGGTTGTTCATTGGCTTGCTGTAAAATGATAAGCGTTAAGACACTGTGTGGTGTAAATGGGGTTCCTTCCTGGACGTACTGACTTCACGTGCCGGTAGGTGAACCCAAGAGCAGCTATATAACGAGGAGACCCTGCTACATGGGGGAACTTTAATTTCGGATGTTACATTAGCTGGATGGGAAAAAAGATTACTTCCCCAACGTTGTAAGTACAAATGGGGGGAAGGATAGACTCCTCCTTGCCTAACTCAGGGGGGGGAAAATCGGCCAACAGGTAAAGAGAAAAAAACACGGATTGGTCTTCGCCTTTGCCATTGCGTTAGCCTTTGCATTAGCCTTAGTCTTTATATTCTCCTTTGCTTTCCCCTTTGCCTTTATATTCGCCTTCCTCTTTTTCTCTCTTATTTTGCTTAACAGCTTGTGATGTTTTTTTTTATCCACTCAGGCGCATCCCCTGGCCAATGGCACCTGACGCAGGACCGAACTTTCTATTTTTTGGGCCCCTACACTTTTGCGCAAAAAAAAAAAAAAAAAGAATAAACGGATGGGTGGAAGGAAAAGTGAAAAAAGGAAATAACCTACCCTGTTGTTGTGAGAAAAAAAAAAAAGAAAAAAAATAGCGTAATGCTCTATTGTGACATTTATACATTAAGGGTATACAAAAAGAAGAGAAAAAAAAGGCAGAAAAGGAGAAAAGCAGAATGGGGATACTTCACAAAAGAAAGAGTTGTCCCATGGGATAACTTTCCCTCGAGAAGAGTCAGCCGCATAAGTGATTTGCTTCAGCTTTGAAAAACGTGGGAAACACCCACAATGAGAATATCGCTGCTGTGTCGATATAGGAAGCACCAATCGGTATGCTCAGCTTTGGCAATGTAAAAAAAAAGAAGGAAAAAAAAATGATTAGCTATATGGGCAGTTCTGCTTCATGTGCCTACAAAGGCGTAGCAACAGCCGCTGGAGGAGGAGAAAAGAAGAATTGTTCAATTTTTTTCCCCTTATCTGTGATCATTCCAAGAGGGAGATTGACCCCTTAAAAGTGGGGATTCGTCATTCCGTCCCTATCTGCCTGTGTTTTGTTGTATGGGGGTGTGTCTATCTGGGGGGACTGTATACTACTCGCTCGTGATAATGACCACTGCGTAGTGAAGCGCTGCATCGAGGAGAAGAGAGATGCCATGCGTAGAGGCCGTCGTGCTACTCCACAGACGAGGAAGCAAAAATGGGATATACACCTACCCCATTATGCAGTTGTATCGTAAGTGGCCTGATTTGCAAGCCGAGTGGGAATGTCCCCTAAGAGTAAACGGCCCATACCAACGCAACAGTAGTGCAGCAATGCGAGCACGCTGATATCCACTGGGGAGTGAACGGGAAAGAGGCCTCCCTGTTGCGCGCATCGTGTGTGGTTTTCAAAGTTGCATGGGTGCGACGAGAAGGGGTAAAAGAGTGCAATGGACGTAGGTCTCTCCTGCAGTGGGAGTTGGCCCATCAGCTGTGAAGCGTATGAGCTGCGTCCACCTCGTCGGCTTCGTCGGCCTCTTCCCCCTCTTCCTCATCATGTTGCGGAGGGCGCTAAGCCTGAAGGCTGCCCATCGCGCGACGCGCACGCAGCGCTTTTTCTCGCACGAGCTGGTGAATATGGGTATCCTTGCGCACATCGACGCGGGGAAGACGACCATATCGGAGGACATCCTGTACAACGCCAATGAAATAAAGGTTAAGGGCAGTATCCACGACCAGAACACACAGCTGGATTTTTTAAGGCAAGAGAGAGAAAGAGGAATCACCATCAAGACTGCCTACTCATGCTTCAAATGGAACAACATAAAGGTAAATTTGATAGATACCCCAGGACATGTCGACTTCAGCAACGAAACGTTCCTGTCATTATGCGTCTCAGACAAGTGTGTCATCGTGGTGGATGCCAAGGAGGGGATTCAAATTCAAACCTTACACCTGTTTCACTACATAAAGGAAAATCTCCCCATTTTTTTTTTTTTAAACAAAATGGATATACACGAAACGGATCTCGATTACAACATGGAAAGTCTAAAAAACAATTTGAGTCGAAAGAGTGTCCTTGTCACTTACCCTCTGTATGAAAATAAGGCGTTGAAGTTTATTTTGGACCTTCCTTCCATGTCGCTTTATTGGTATCCTCAGGGGAGGTATGGGAGCAAGTTCACTTACAACAGAATTGGCCTCGCTTCCGTTTTGCGGCACTTGGACTGCCAAGTTGTGAGGAGTCATTTTGCCGCCATAGGGGTGGGCGAGGAGACCTCAACTGCTTCTGAGGTGATCACCACGGAGCAGCTCCTAAGAGTGCTATCTAAAGACACCATCCACCATATTTTACAGAAAAGGGAGGATCTCGTGGAGGCGCTCTGTGATTTGGAGCCCGACCTGGAGCGAAAGTATATAAACAATGTCTGCATAGGGTACAGCGAGGTGAGGGAGTGCCTAGCCAAGTGGATAAAGTTGAAGGAGATCTTTCCCGTGTTTGCCGGCAGTGCGATGAATTCGTTTGGTGTTCACCTCCTTCTGGATTACGTCACTAGCGGTGGTGTGACTAGCGGTGGCGTCGCGGTGCGGGGGGACCACTCCAATAGGGAGATTGCCCCATCGGAAGTAAAAGCAGCACCTATTGGCCCCAAAACGAACGATGTGCAGGGTAACATCCTAGTGGGGTCCTCTCCAATGGATGTAAGTGAGCCCATCGGAGCAGGACACAGCAATGGAGAGACCCGCCCCCCTGGTGCAGCTACCCCGTTGCATCACGACTCAAGCACTACCGCTGCACTCTCCAACAAGATTAAAAAAAGGCACACATCTCTTCAGCGGTACAAAACAGTCCTATTCATATTCAAGCTTGTGAGCGAAAAGAATGGATACAACACATTCTGCAAAGTCCTCAAGGGAGAGTTAGTTAAAAATGCGAAGCTTCAAAACCTACGAAGTGGAGGAACCCAATTGGTGAAGGGTCTCTACAAAGTCAAAGCAGATAGATATGTTATGATAAATATGCTGAGGACGAACGACATAGGAATGGTTCGTGGGCTTGAAAATGTCCTCGTGTGCGATTTTATGTGCGAAGTGGAGGAACAACCTTGCAACATAAATTGTGCAGATGTAGTGGGAGGAGACCGTGGGGTGAGCGGCACCATGTTGCGCATCAGGAATGATGGCGAAGATCACCGGGAAAGGAAAAAAGAAAGCGATAAGACCAGCCAGGGAGGCCACCAGGGACAACTTAACGAGGGAAGCCAAGGAGACCAACTTAACTCGCTCCAGGACAAGTCACTCCGGGACATCTACAGACGTATGAAACACGAAATAGGAAGAAAAGAATTGTGGTTCTTTCTCAGGAGCTATAAAAAACGGATAAGCAAAAATGTCATTGTCTGCACATGCGCTATAGAGCCAAAGGATTATAAGAAGGAGAAGGAACTTAAGCAGGTGCTGCGAAACATCTGCTTGGAAGATAACAGCATTGCTGTGTATACGGACCCGAATAGAAAGCTCGTCATTGGATCGATAGGGATGTTAAACATCGAAGTGACGTTGGACAAAATAAGAAGTGATTACAATATCGATATCAGGACTGAGGAGGTGGAGGTAGTGGAGAGGGAGTATCTTACGGGGCAGTACGAAGAGACCATCACCAAAACGATGAAGGTGAATTCTAACATCTCCAACATAACGATCGGCTTAACCATTCGAGAGAAGGAGTTCGTGGACGTTTCGAGGTTCATCCAAAATGCGCTGAGGTATGATAGCGTGTCGCAGTTGGTGAGGCTGACTAGGGGGCAGGCGGGGGAGGAAACACTCAGTAAGGAAGAAGCGAACGATGAAGCAGCCATCGAGGAAGCTGCCACTGAGGGAGAATCTTGGGAGCAGCAAAACATCACTACCATGCAGCCGAATGGTTCCTTGCCAACCCCACTGAACAGACATGACTCTGTTTTTTGTGCCTCACCACAAAGGGGGGGTCGGCCCCCGAAGAAACCCAATTGCATCATCGAGGTGGAGCTTCACAACTCAGACGAGGTGCTGACTGGTGCTGTGGGGCGGGGAAAGTGTACAACTCAAATTAGTATTAACGCGAACTGTGAGGGGGTTCGAATGTCTGGCTCACGTGATTGGGCGAGTGAGTCCAAAGGGGGTTACCCCTCACACGCGGAGCACCCGGAGGAAGAGGTGGACCAAGGTGTGGACGAAAATGTTGAGGAAGACGTGAAGGAAGATGTTGACGAAAATGTTGACGAAAATGTGGACGAAAATGTGGACGAAAATGTGGACGAAAATGTGGACGAAAACGTGGAGGAAGACATGGACGAGTACCTCCTCAACTTCAACTACGAGGACCTGTTCCAAAGCAGCGTTCGCGTCCATAAAAACGTGCACGTGTACATCGCCGATTTGCAGAGGGAAAAAAAAAAAAAAAAAAACTTTTACGAAGAAATTTTACAGAGCTGTATTATCACCCTGAAGAACTGCCTAACCAGTGGCTTCCAAACAAGCGGAAGCATCATCAGCACGGAGGTCGAAATTACGAAATTGGACTTATCGGATGACACCACTGTAGCGGTGGCCAAGTATGCGTGTAATGACCTGTACTATCGAATGATTAAGCGAGCCAACGTGTGCGTAGCGAAGCCTATATCTCTACTGCAGATTCAGACGGAGGAATCCTTCGTCGGCATTATAGTGAAAGACCTAATTCAGCAAAGAAGTGGGACCATTATTCAGATCGCGAAGAATAATGACTCTCGCCTTTTTAAGAGCATGAAGATCATCGCCATCGCTCCGGTTAAGCACACGCAGAACTACGCCTCCATTTTGAGGTCCATTTCGAGTGGCCACGCCAACTGTTTGATGACCTTTTGCGGTTACAGCAGGGAGGGCTAGCCGCGGGCCGAATGGAAAAGCATATGATAAGCAGGTGGATGATCCCTTCGTAACATTCCCACGTCGCTACTTGGCCGCTTACCTGTTCCTTTGTTTTTTTTTTTTTTTTTTTTTTTCGTGTGGGTGACCTCTCGCAAGGCATGTCATCTCCTCCCCTGAAATAGTGAACACGGGACGTGAGGTGCCCGCTGGCCGAGCCGCTTACCGAGCTGCCGTCCCATCTCTACACTTGGCACATCTTAATTAAGTGAGTTAATTGTTTCCCCCCCGAACAGGGAGCAGATATGTACATACATACAACACACGCAAATATGCGCGTGGGGCCAAATGGTTAAAGGGAACGCCAATGTGCTGAGCGTTAACATGGCATAATTAAAAAGGGGGACAAATATGCTACCAAAGTGAAGCTCTGGTTTGAAAAAAAAAAAAATAATGTGATCATATGATAAAAAAATCATACGATAATAAGACAATACGATAAGATGGTGAATGGGTCAGTCGAAGGATGGGCGGATGGAGTGAAAAAAGCTTCCATTTTTTCCTCTTCCTCTTCCTCCCATATCCCCTGCGCCTTCAGACGCTTCCCCAGATTTTTCGTGACCCAATTGGCCTTCTCGGGGGTAGGGGCGTTGTTCCCCCCCCTTTTCTAGGCGCTCAGGTTAACCTTCTCAGCCATCTCCTGCGTGTGCAGGGAATGGTTAAAATTAACCCACAAGTTGGGGAAGATAGTCTGCATTTTCTTCTTACATTTCTTCTTTAAATTGCCGCCCTGTTGATAATAAGTCTTCTCCACTGTGTAACTAGACGAGCATATTTTACCTGACCCATTCAGGTAATTTTCTTTACATAATTGTTGAACGAAATCAATTTCCTCATTAAATATTTTTTCAAACAAAATGTCGTTAGCAGTTTGCAGGTCTGAATTTTTTGACAAAATTAATTCTTTATAAATATCAAATGTATCTTGGTGGAGATAATTTTTTTTGTTTTTTCCTTCGTCTATGTTTTTCTCCTTTTTAATGATGAATTCCATAACTCCTTTGTGTGATTTCAGGGAAATGTGCTCGTCACTTGTGTAGATGAGGTAGTCATTTTTGCGCTTGCCGTTTCCTTCTATCAAATACACCGCGTTGTTATCTGCGTAACTGCTTTGGAGGTTGCCTTGAAGGTTGCCTTGAAGGTTGCCTTGATGGCCGCTTTGAAGACCGCTTTGAAGGCCGCTTTGAAGGCCGCTTTGAATTGCCTTCCCCTTAGCCACACACAGATTTTTTAAAAATATTTCCATGTCGTCGAAAAGGACATTTTTCTCTGCCGAGTCTCCCCGTGAATTGATGCGATGATCCGCTTTCCCCATCTCGCTCTTCCCACTCGTTTCGCGAACAGAATCATTTTTGTTTCTTCTGTTTTTCGACGTCATCCTCTGTATCATCATTTCTCTAATAATGCTCGTAATATCTCCTTCCATTTCTTTTTGTTTCGGCTTCCTCTTGTTGAGGGTATCTTTTTTCTTTTTCTCTTTCGCACATGGTACTTGGCTCTTCGCGCCCACCCCGTCCTTCCCGTCCATCTTGTCCATCTCCTTTTGTGTCTTTTCGACTGATTGTCTTTCCCCCTCTGGCTTGCCAGCCGCTACTTTCTCTGCATCCCTCATTTGTGCCCTATCACCCTTTCTTTCATCTCCCTCTCCGTTATGCATATTCTCCTGTGTATTGACATTCAAAGCATGGGCATCACTATCGCCTGTATGTTGGTTACTCCTTTTCCCTTTCGCTGCATTCTCGTCAATAAGGCTATTCACCGCACTGTGTAGGCCATCAAAGGGGAGAACCTCCTTCGTGGCGACTTCTCTCCTTCCGATATAATCTTCAATTATTGCGTCGAGGGGCACATCTGGGTTGTCCTTTTGAATGTTTAAAATTTCCTGGGCGTGCTTCTTCATTTGTTCTTCCTGACTAATATTGTTATCATGTGCGCCTTTTTTCTCTGGCTTCTCTCGTGTGCGAGTGGGGCTCATCGCGTCACCTGGAGCAGCGACAGAAGTCGCTGCGGTGTCATCTCGGAGTGAGTCATCCAAAATTTCGCCTCCTCCAATGGGTGTGTCCTTCTTATCAGTTTGGCAAGTAGATCCACCACCCTTCTCCTTCTTGGCTCGTTCCTCCACTACTTCCTTCTTCTCCTTTGCACCGACAGTTACATCAGCTTTTCCCTTTTCGATGTCCCTCTTTTGGGAGGATTGCTCATTCTTCTTCCTTTCTCCCTTCTCTTTCATTTTATCCTCTTTCATGTTTGTTTCTTCCTGCTCCGCTTCGTAACTTTTCTCCTTCTTCTGCTTCGAAGACGTTCCCCCTTCCGCGCTGGGGTGTTCTTTCGGCTGATTGGCGCTTCCCACGTGTACATCCTCCGCTGCTGTCACCACAGAGGGCGTAACAACAGTGGTAGTCGCCTTCTTGTTTGCCTTCTGACCCACACTGGGAGATGTCTTCGTCTTTGCCTCGTCACCACCACCTCCTTTTCTACTTCCATCAAACAGATCATTAAAGAAGCTTCCAATTCTGGAGGTCATTTTGGCAATCTTGTTTTTTTTTCCCCCCTCTGCCTTTTCGCTAGTTTGCTTCTTCTCCTTGGGGCCGTCGGCCGGCTGCTCTTCCACTTGAGCTGTCTTATTCTCTACGGTGCCACTCCCACCACCGCTGCTAATCACGCCGCCGCTCCCACCGCTGCTCACGCTGATGACGTTGACGGCACTGCTACCATTGTTGGGGTGCTTCTTCTTTTGTTTCTTCGCATCCTTGTCGTCTTCCTTCAGGGGCGGGAAGTCCTCCTGGGAGGGCTGCTCCTTCTGCGCAGCGTCCGAAGGTGATTGGCCGCCCTTGCCATCGGGTTTGCGCTCTTCCGCAGGGGGTTCTTCCGTCGGGCCCTTTCCCGTTTTGACTCGACCAGTTTTGACTGCAGCAGTTTTGGCCTCTTCCACCTTGGCCTTTCCCACCTTCCCTTCTCCCACCTTGGCCTCCCCCTCCTTCTCTTCGCGCATCTTGACCTCTTCCGCCTTCTTCTTCTCGTTGGCCTTCTTCTTTTCTGCCTTCTTTTTCATCTTCTTCTTCTTGTCTTTGTCAAAGCAGACATCCGTTATGAGCGGGTAGTTCTCTGACATGCCGTCGACGTAGTACGGGTCTTCCTCCACCACCAGGCTGTTGCTTTTACTGACGTTGCCATTCTTAGCTGCGCCGTTACTCTGGAGGGAGTCTTTATAGTTCTTCTCCTGCGACGCATTTGCACTGACAGTGGCACTCGCACTTGCACTCCCACTTGCAGTCGCACTCGCGCCGTGGTCTTCCTTGCCTGGATCGGGGGGTGGGATAATCTCCTCGCTCTTTTGTTTTTTCTTCTTCTTCTTGCTCTTGGTGTTGGAGTTGTTTTTTTCTTCTTCCATCCCCTGCAAGGCAGTGACCGCCACGCCAGAATTCTTTATGAGGTTCGCGAAATTACCTTCGGAGCTCCACTTGCTTTTCTCCTCCCCGGCGTGGTGGTTATCCTTGGACCCCTTGCTGGTCAGGCCATCCTTGAGGTTGGTGTCTCTTTTCTGTTCCTCCGCCGCCTTCTCCGCTGCTTTCTCCGCGTACCTTTCTATCCCTTTGTAGATTATCTCCAAACTTTTTGACTTCCCATCGGAGAGTACCGATGTCGGGGACGAGTGCTGTTTCTTGGCGTGGGTGGCCTCATCGACGGCGTCAGTCTTTTTCTTCGCCTCGGCTAAGTCCTTCTCATTGGTGATGGACATGGCCGCAGCAAAGGAGAGCACCGCTGGTGGAGCACTTACGGTAGCACTTGCGACAGCACCTGCGGTAGTGGTTCCTCCCGATGTTGCCACTCCCCCGATAGTTGTGTCTTCCAATTTTCTCGCCGACTTTACCAAAACAGTGCTGGAAGAGTCATGAGAATTGGTACTCTGCTCGTTTTTCTTCTCGGGGTGTTTTTTAAAATAAAAATATAGTAAGTCATGATAAATGTGTTTGGGGCCATGGATATCATCTTTGGAGAAGCTATCAATCACGTTTCCCAGTTCGTGCAGGTAGAAGCAGTCCTCATTGGTACATGTGCTGTTCTTCAGATACGCAGCACAGTACTTGGTGGTCCCAAAGGATGCCTTCAATGTTTTATTGTCCAGGACCATACCATCGATAAAATAAATTGCATTAATGGCCTCCTTCTCGTTACTATACGTTATGTACGCACTGAACGAGGGGCCATTGTAATGCGGATTGTAGGCCTGGGATTTATTCAGAATGATGTTGAGTATATTTCCGTACTTGCCAAAGTATTCATTTTTTTTTAATACATTTTTCTTGGCATAGTTGGACGTGATACCAATGACGAACACGAGGTTGCGTTGGACAACTCTAATGCCTTTTATGATCTCGAATAGATTTTCATGCTCGTGGATATTATAGGTGTTTGGATTTTTGTATAATTCGGGTCTGCTAAAAATGGCACTGCTGCTTCCATTGTGATGGTGAAGAAGAGTATTATTGGTTGCACTTGCGGAAGCGGTAGTTGCGGTAGTTTGGCCTGCCCCGGCAGAGGCGCTAACTCCGTTAGGAGCATTCGTGGCGTTATTAGTGTTGCTGTTATTTGCGTCTGCTTTACTTCCCTTGTGATTATTTTTTTGCTTTTTCACCAACTTTTCGTGGGTCTCCCTATTATATATGAAATTTTTCTCGTCGTAACTTCTCCTGCACGCGGGACACTTGTTGCACATGTGGTCTCGTATGTAGTACAAACACCAGAGACATATCTGGTAGCCACAGTCACAGGGGAAAAAGTTCCTGTCTGTCTCGTCCAGAACCTCTACGCAGAGGGGACAGAGAATGTTGTTTTTGTCCTGGCTGTCCCCCTCCTTACTGGGGTTCCCGCCTCCATTTGCGATGTTCCCATTGCTACACGCTTCTTCATTCTTGGGAAGTAACTCCCTCTCCTTCGCGCTCAGTGTCATCTTTGAGACTTTTTTATTTTTCGCTTCTCCGTCCTCCACGGTGTAAAATAACTCCTCGTCATCCAGATGTGCTTCTTCACGCTCCCTTTCTTCCCATGAGTCTTCTTCGCTCGTCACATCCACGTTCTTCCCCTTGATGTCCACGGCGTCACCCTTTCCGTTCGCACTCGCGTCGTTGGGGGCGCCTTTGCCACTCGCTTTAGTGCGGGTGTTGGGGTTGTTCCTCTCGCTTGTGCTCCCACTGGCACAGCTCTCAGCGACGCCGTTAACTTTTTTACTGTCGCTGCTCGCCTCTTCCGCCTTTTCTCCCTTCTTGTAATAGGAGGACCTGTTGAATGCCCTCCGTATGTATCGATTTTCAGTGGACCCCCCCTTCTTCATCTTCCCCTCTTCACGTAACCGTCGCGCACAGCAGCGGTTCGCATGAGACGGGTTCGTGTGTCACAGGTTGGTATGTCACAGGTTCGTATTCCACGGATGTCCATTCATGGGTGCACATGTCACCAGTGTGCACTTCATCGGTTTGCCAATCGCGCATGTTCCCTCCATGCGGCGTTGCGAAACGAGCAGAGGGAAAACCGATGCTTTCCCGAGGAGGCTGCATACAGCGCTGCGAAAGTTAGTATGCCCAACTTAGCACGGGAAACATCAACAAGGGAATAAATTCATATATTTGCTGGTGTCGCTGCCATAATGCTGCTTCTCGCAGATATTGTAACTACGATCTCGTAAGTGTAGTAGCTATAAAAAAAGGGGGGGATGAGGCAGAGTGGACGGGGTGCGCCACATGAGAAGGTGAGGTGGAGAGGAATGCAATAAGTGGCACCTTGTCTGTCCTTGAGCGTTTTGTTTGCCTAGGTATAACTGGATGTAATAAACCGGGCAGTGCGTCCAGCGCGGGGATTAGCGCCAAACTGGCGGCTAATTGGCAGCGAATTGGCGGCGAATTGGCGGCGAGTCACAGCCCGAATGAAAGGCATAACGTCCGTACCAACCTTCCGCCAAAAAATGAAAAAAACGAACGCTCGAAAAAAAAAAAAAGAAAGAGTAACGAAAAAATAATAAAACAAACGACGAAGGCTTAAGAAGATTA